TTTCTGAGATTACACTGCTATCCATTTTCATCAGAATTCTAGCAGCAGCTAAGTTGGTAACAGACCAGCACTATAACTATTAAATATCTGTCAATGCCTAAAAGAGAGAAAAGAATTTACTGAAGTCGAACTTCATAATTCAGATTGTTGCAACTTTTATATTCTCATCATTAATAAATTGTTGATAGCTTTTATCAACATAGTTTGTACCTTCTGTTAGAAATTCTCTGCTTTTCAGAAAGGTTGCCAGAATTAAGAAAGTTACTAGGATTGAGAAACTGCCTGGACCAAGAAAACCATGGCTTGCTGGAGTGAATAAGTAACTCACTGAATAATTCAACCCAACAGATGCACAATGTAAAAGATGTCACTAGATGACACAAAGACCAGTGAAGGGGATGAACAATGAAAATAGCCACGCCCAATTTACACATTCTTCACTGAACTATAATAGCTGGTATCATGATTACTGGATAAAGTTTACATGTGTATATGGTAACCAAAGTAGTGGATTATATTCTGTGTCATATCGACCAGGAAGTGGCCATATTACAGGTGAAGCAAAAAAAATTTTTCAGTAGTACATCAATAAAAACTCAGTCACACTATACAAAAATGGTCAAATGTATACCATCCTGAACTTGCCATAAAAAGGTATCCATTGGAAGTACAAGTCTGAAACTTTGAAACTTTATCAATTTTGGGATAAGGAAGTCAGTAAAATAATTTTTTCTCTGTAATATGAATTTTTTTTGTTTCAGATGTATCTAATTTTGGACAATTTTGCAAAATTATACAATTTTTAACATATCAAAAAGAAAAAAAAAATAACCACAAAACACAGAAATTTGTTTCAAGAAATGAATCATTTGCCAATCCTTAAAAATGCTTATTGTAGAGCTTTCAACTAATTTATCATCAAACTAAAAACTGAAATGAATAAAAATTCACTTACTGGAACTGATGAAATAGACTTTATGGACAGTTGGAATTGTCCTCCTGCCTTTCCTCTTCTAATGGTGATTTGCAGTCTTAATTTGTTCATAAAGCTTCTGCTATACTGAAATACTCCATATTCTATCATCACTTTAAAGTGGTATTATAACAAAGTCCCATCTAAAGCCAAATGTTGATGCCACTTGTGCAATATCATCCAATAAAGGCTATCAAAAATAACTTCTGCTTTTGGTTAGAACTGAAATTTTGATTACTGCATTAAACACATGTAATATCAATGACTTGGTCAATGTAAAAGTTGGAGTCATAGTATACAGCAACTCACTTGATGCTTGTAGCTGAAGGTCATTTGGTTCTTCATCAGAAATGTTTGATTCACTGAGTGCCTTTTCTTTGTTCCTTTAGGAGGAGATCAAGTTCTATTAAAAGTTACATCACTGTAATATCTATTCCCTTCATCAGTTTTTAAATTTATCAGCATATATTACAAGGAATTTGAGGCCTTTTTCGGCCTGCTTTTTAATATGCCCAAACCCACCTTGTAAATATTAGCTCTTAATGTTTAACTTCTTGTAACCTCTTCCATGTATACTCTGCCATAATATATGATGATATTGTGAATAACATAGGAAGTCATGCAAACAATGACAGTTTGACAACAGTGAGAATTTTTGAGAGCCGATATTTACAAAACAGATTTGAGCATATTAAATACTAAAGGGTTAATAGGAAGAAAATCTGTAAATTAATTTTCTTTAGAAAATATAAAATGATATTTATTAACTACTTCAGAAAGATTGAAGAAATGTGGAAATTTCTTCACTTTTGATCTTCTTAATCTGGCAGGGACTCTGGAATTTAATACATTTCCCAACCTCCTGTAATAGTGTGGCAGACGTGATGAGACAGAACCTGGGACAAGCACAACTAGTTGCGACTTGCCTTGTCCCCGCCAAAAAAGAGCCCGTATTTGCTTAGCATGTAAAGCTACTGCAGTTGAAATGAGGGAGAAAAAAGCACTTACTGCTCTGCTGTAACCTGTCCTTGGCCAGATAACGTAAAAGAATGAGGGGGGACTTGCATTGCATTTTTATGCAAGAAAGATGCAATGCATTATGGGACAGGGACGCAATGAATTATGGGTTCGCATGAAGAAACAAGGGATTATGGGTATATGGACAAATATAAAAGCAACTAATTTTTCCCAGTGTGGCGTGCTTTGAGTGATGTTCACTGTTGGCGGCTAGAAAAGCCTGTTAGTGCGATTTTGAGACAGAACTCAAGAAGGAACGACTCGAGGTTGGAATACCAGTTGGGAGAGCTTGAATTTACTCGCTGGTTGTTGTTTTCTTTTTATTCGCCAATAAAAGCAAAATAATTATTGCCTTAGAGGATTTGACAAGATATTTTGTAGTCCCAGCAACTTACAAAAACATCCCAGTCCTAAGATTTGTTTGACATTTTTTTTAAATTCAAAATAAATCTAAATTTCCTAACACAAGTATATTAAAACACCTCAACAAAGTTCAAATTCATTAATCTCTGAATTCATTTCAACATTTGAAATATTCTTGATCTTTAGGATAGGACATTTGACAAAAATTTCATTGCTTTATCAAAACAAATGAACTCAATTATAAATTAATTATTCTATATGAAATCAGACTTTCAACAAAATTCACAAAATACAATCTCTTGCAGACATTCAGTCTGTGAACTTGCATAAGTTTTTCAAGTTTCAAATCATTACCTTTTCTCAAATATCTACCCACATTATCATTTTTTTGTGTTCAAACAGTAAACAATATCTATATAAATAAATGTGAATGTCAGTGTGTCACACCTTTTCAACTTTACTCCACAATCCTGAAATTTTGGATTCCCAAGTTTTCATTACTGTAATTGTTCTTGGTGATTTTTTTTTTTTTGCAAGAAATTTTTTTTGTACGATAATTATTATAACTGGGAAATAAATTTGGGAATAATTGAAATTAATTGTGAAATCCAGTGTAAATCATCCATGAAATAAAAATAATTCTTTGTATGTAAAGTAAGGACCTACATACATCAAAGTGTCTTTAAATTAAGTGGCAGCAGAATTATCATTAAACTTTTAAAAGGTAAGCTTAAATATTAATGCAATACTTAAAGGTAGCAATCAATTTTGAGTTCTTCTGTAGTTTATTGTTGCCTATCGTATACAGCAGCAGTATGCCTTGCAAAAAGAAATCTCTGCCAACAGAAGACCAGATTGCAATCAAAAGTGCTAAGGCTGCAGCAAGGAAAAGAAAATCCTGTGCAAATGAAAACCCAAAATGGCAGCCAGGAGAGCTTCCACTGCTGAGAATATGCAAAGACTTAGGGACTCTCAAACTCCTGAACAAGTCAAAGGCCTGATCAAGAGCCATCCGCAAGAGCTAGCTTAAATGCCACCCAATAGGGTGGCTTTTAAGCTAGTAAAAATAAAGATAAAACAATGATTAAAATATATCATGAATATATAATTTTTTGTAGATTCTTTGAAAGAAAACATTATTATCCTCCCCTACTCAAGGAGCATATAAAATCACTTCTCTGTACATGATCAGGAAAGCTTCTCAAGTTCATTTAGAAATAACACTAAAACCAGCCACTGTAGCAGAAAAAGGAACTGTAGCCTTTTCTCTGAAAAAAAGAGATCTTAGTGCTAACATTTTATCTTTCCTAAAGGTAAATTAAAAATGTTGATATTTGCATTACAGGTTATTTTAAATTTTATCAGTATACTCAAAGACAAACTTACAATTCTTCCCAAAATAAGTTATTTGTTATATGCTTGACTTGTTGCGTCTCTAAATTTTTACTATGGTAATTTTAAATTTCAAGCAAAAATGTAATCTATTACTTTTCATTCTATTGTGTATCACTGTTATAATTTTAGCTGATAAATGTATATTAATCAAATGAAAATAGGTTTATGCTTAATGTAAAACTTAGCTATAGAATATCTAGTAGTAGCATAGTGTAAAAGCTTTTATTCTGGTTTTTAACAAATATCTTGTTTAACAGTGAATAAAAGTAATGAAATGAACTTATTCCATTAAAGGCAATGTTGAAACAAATTTGCTTTTTAACTTCACATAAAAAGCGGCTTTTGCTTCACATATCAAGTGGCCTTAAAAGTAAATGGTCAGTTTATTCAATGTAAATTTCTAATCATTTTTCTTTTATATCATGTAATCTTCATTTTTTTTTTTTTACTCACATTGTATTGCCTTAATAAACATATCACCAATAGCAGCTCTGAGGGTATAAAAATAAGTGAACCTTTAAGTAACTCTCTTTCCCCATTTTCCCTTTCAAAGTGTGCGCCATCAATTTTCATGCCAAAGAAAAAAGGGTTGTGGACACTTCACATACACAAAATCACCCTCAAATACATTAACAATTTTCATTGTGTATTCAGTTTATTTCTAGAAAATGAAACTCTTAAACTTTCCTTTTGTTATTTTTGTTAAATAAATGTTATCTTGCATTGCAAATTAATCAGTCTCTTATTTTGTGTATGTACCTTTTTACCATCATTATTTCATGTAAAATATTCTCATAGAAAAATTATACATTAATTATAGGAGTAGAAAACATACTAAAATATTAAAGAACTATTTGTGTATCTGATTGTTCAGTTTTATTTCTTCAGTGATATAAAATTCTATATTTAAACTAATAAAATTAACTAAGCTTGTTTTCATTTTTTTTAATCCCTTTATTCACCATGATTTTAAGTTTATCAATAAAGGCTATTATATATTTCTAAACAGTTACATTTGGCTCTTTACTAAAGAGTCTAAAATAAAAGCCATATAAAATATAAGCAATCAACATTTCATTACACAATTGATAAAAGTTCAAATATCAGAAAAGATTTAATTAGAATGCTCATGCAAAAACAAGAAGCAATAGGCTAATGAGCTGTTAAGAAAATTCAAATAAATATGGATTTTTCAAGGATTGTAAAATAATAATAATAAAAAAAAAAAGAAAAAAAAAAAGACAATACTCACCAAAACTTCAATTTCATTACTGCCTAAATCAAGATTCTCAAGTTTTGTCAGTTGTGCTAAAGATGGTGGGAGAGTTTTTAACAAGTTCTCTCTCAGCTCTAAGGAAACCAAATTTGCCAAGCTGAAAATAAAGGGGAAAAAAATGAAAATCAGATTAATAATAATGGTTTTTAAGTTATTAAATTAGATGACATGTAAGTATTGTTTGAAGGCAGTTGCTAACAACAGTTTCAAGAACAATGGTTGAAAGTCGATGAGGAAACTCATTTGAGCTTTTTTCTACTGCATCCACTAACAGCAGGACAATTCTATAAAAGTGTTAATTGACAAGCAATAAGTTGTTGCCACTGTAAATTGCTATAAAAAAAAATAAAATTAAAGATAAATCTTTATAGAGACAACTACAAAATTTAGCTAACAGAAATCTATGCTTGATTTTTTACCATAGCAAGGAGCTTGTAAATAGACAGGTTATGCTTTTTACCCTGCTCCAAAATAAAGTGTCTAACAAACAGCAAACAGGGAAACATAAGAGAACAATGGAAATAGATATTTTACAAGCGATAGAAGAAAATCTATTTAAAAAAAAAAAAAAAAAAAAAAAAAAAAAAAAAAAAAAACTCCAGTTATTTTTGTTCTAATTGCAGACCAGCTGCTGTATTTTCAAAAGAACAGAAAAATTATCTGCAGGATTATATTTCTTTAACCTATGAACCTTATCTGAAATGAGAAAAAATGTTTATACTGAATCAATTACACACTAAAGTCAAGGTACATTTACAACTTAAAAAAAAAAAAAAAAAAAAAACCTTTATAATTAGTATGCAAAAGTGTCTTTTTTAACTAATCACAAATAGCAGTGTGTACTGAAAAAGTCTTGGCCAGACACACCAAACAAGGTGCTCAATATCTTATATATATATATGGACTAATATGGACATTTCATGGCTCTAGTTCATTCCCCTTCTTGGTCAGCCTAGAACTTTTCAGCACCTACTTCTACATCAGATATCATCCATCCCAAAGCGTCAACATTCTTTTTGATTTTCATGAGGCATAATTATGAAAATAAGCAAGATTCTGAGTTTCAGGCACTTTACAACTTAATTACACTGAGCAGCTCAGAATATCAAATCAAGTCTAAATAACATCTTGAATAATGTGATTTTATCTTTCAATATAAATATATATATATATATATATATATATATATATATATATATATATATATATATATACACACACACACATACATACATACATACATACATACACCCTATAAAGTTTTATATTAAGAGAAACATCTTCCCCATAACACTCTTGTTTTCTAAAAAGGAATGCCTGAGACTTACCAATTCATAGATAAATATCTAAATTTCTTTTTTTTTATATATCATTATGACTTTTCCCCACTAAAACATCTAAAACTAAAATGTTCCCATGAAACCATTTGTACTGTGAAAAGTAAAAAAGCAATTATCATTAATTTGTAAGTAAGAATTTTTTAGAGTGTTCTAGGAAAAGGAAAAATGCTTTGCATTACTTTCACTAGAAATGATAATACCATAATGATGGCAGAGAAAGAATTCATTTTAATTTTGAAAAGGTTTAAAGAAGTTTTGCAAAAAAGTAAGTGCCTACAAAAAAAATTTTATGATAGAAAAGTATGTGAGGTTGAGTAGTCAAGCATACCTTCTACCATCATCTACAAGAGACAAACCATAATCTTTAGAGACTGGAAAGAAGTTATGATTTTGGTAAGGAAAATTTCCCATATAAATTAATGGTAATTGCTTATTCACTTTATACTATTTTAGATATCAAAGAGAATCTATACTAATGTCTTTTGTAACAGAAAGTAAACTTTCAAAAAGCACAAGATACCTGTCATTCAAGTTACCATTAAAAAAAAGAAAAGAAGAGTAAAAATGAAGCCCACCATATGAAAATAAAAGCAGGCTTTGACTAAAATAAAAAAAAGTTTCAATAGAATTTTAAATATGTACAAATATCAAAATTTGAATCAATGAAGTTCATATAAATCTAAAATGCTTTATTTAACTATTTCTCTTTGTCACCATTACCCAATGATTCATTTTAGTGTGATAGCTGTACAAATTCCTTTTTAAGTCTAACCAGTAGATTATTAAAAATATAAAATCTATTTTTTTAGTTTAAGCTTGCATTCTGGAATAATACTCAAATTTCAACCTGTAAATTAAATGAATGCCACAGTAAACCCTTTAAAATGCACAGAATTACTATTTTCAGATTCAATTTAAAACATTTCTTCTTTAAATGTCAAAGTACTTAATCACTACTTGAACATCATGGGCTTTATAAATCTTCAGACTCAAGTACCAAATGCAGTTTTCTTTGGAGCTAATTACATTCAATTACTGGCATTTCCACTGTTATTCACACACAAAGTCAGCTCTAGAATTATACCTATGTGACAATTTTTTTTTTTTTTTTTACATATATATATTTATTTTTCGTCTTGATTATCAAGGATAAACATCTAAGAATAAGATTTAGACAAAAATGGTAATTAAAAAATTAGATAATTCTTATGTCCCAAAAAGTTAATATTTTCATAGAATTTTAGAAATGAATTTGAATCTATGTAGCAAATTTGATCAAAATTCTAAATAACTCCAAGTAATCAAGAAAAAATAAAATAAAAAATAAAATCATCCAAGTCCCAAGCTAATCATACAAATAGAATGTACAATGTCTGCTCCAAAAGTAATACCTCTATTTTATTATTCTTGCTCATAATGTCAGAAGTGGATACTGGTGATATGGCACAAGAGGTTAAACCTTCTTACCAAAAGTTTTATTTTACTTTGTTACAAAGAGCAGCTAAGCAGCCACCTGGGAAAAATTAATTTAGCATTAAAGCAGTATACATAAAGCAGAGGCGTATCTCTGAATTCCTCCATGTAGAAAGAAAACTTCATGACAATTACGGATAGAGACCAAACAGTGAATGTAAGCACAGGCAGTGTAGGTTATGTGTTTCAATAGTAGTGACTGTTCTGTGTGAGACAATGTTTATGAGCATTGTTCATCACTGGCAAAAATGCAAAGCCAATGGTGATAACTATGTTTTGTAGCTGTAAACAAGAGTGGGCTGACTATGAAAGAGTGATGCTAGAGCTGTGAAATCTTGCATGCATTAATTTCAATCCATCTTATTAATAACTGCATTGTTTCTTCCAAAGTAAACTGATTATTTGACTGTACAAAGAAGACTTCAAAAGTAACTAGTAGCAACTTCTCTTAAAAATGGACAAAAATTTAGCATCATGGTATCATCAAGTACCTACCAAAAAAGGGTTTAGCCCTAATGGACATTCATACTGACATGGTTGCTACATTAGGGGGTGATGCTCCAGCTTTATCAACAATGCAAAAGTAGGTAGCTGAAATTAGGTAGGAAAGGGGAGTCTTAAAAATGAGCCAAAGTTTGGACATCCTGCAATTGCCACTACCGAGGAAAAAAATTGATAGTGTTTACCACATGATGATGGATGACTGGTGATTGACTATAAATCAAATAGCTAATGCTATTAGCATATTCTGTGAGAGAGTTGAGAATATTCTTCAGAATGAACTTGGCATGACAAAGAGTCTGGCTTAGTAGGTGCCATGTCTTCTGACATCTGATAAAAAGCACACCAAGCTGACCTTATCACAAGAAATTCTGACATTGTTTTAGGTAGATCCAGCTAGTTTCCTAACCCAGGATGAGTGTTGGGTTCATCACTTTGAGCCAGAGACAATCCATACAGTAGAAGCACCACTTCTCACCTGCTCCAAAGAAGATCATGGTCATTTTATCTGCAAGGAAGGTGACAGCTTCAGTTTTTTGGGATGCAAAAGGCATTGTGTTTATTGACTATCTTCAAAAAGGCCACATAATCAATGGAGAGTAGTATGCCAACTTGCTGAGGCAGTTCTGAAAGACTATCAAAACCAAACGCCCAGGAAAACTGACGAATGGAGCAATGTTTCAAAAGGACAATGCTCCAGCACACAAGTCCTTGTTTTCAATGACTTGTGTGTGATTGTGGCTTTGAATTGGTTGATCACCCTTACTATTCTTCTGATTTGACTATCATCTCTTCCCCAACATGAAAAACACTTTGCTGGGAACCAGTATCACAGTGATGATGTCATATCTGCTGCTGATTACTTTTTTTTTTTTTTTAAATAGGATGAAAGCACTGTAACAGCGATAGAAGGGTGCAGACTGCAAGAGGGGACTATGTTGAAAAATAAACCTCATTTGGTCACATTCAATGAGAGTATCTTGGTCAGACTATGAAGTTTTCAGCAAACTCCTGTAATAATATTGTTGTGTTCTTTTTTGTTTTCATAGAAATAAATAGTAGTCATTACTTTTGGGGTTCCAATTATATATTAAAAATCAATTAAAGTGGGAATAATTCCACAGACCTAAGATTAAACAAATATTTATTTCAATATCTCACAGTAATAAAAATGAGGATAGCAAATATGATCATGATTGTACCAAACTAATAATACCATACATAATTTTTGTGTTTCTGTAGTAGGAAATAATAAACAAGAGATTATGTGGATTAAGTTATCTGTAATTGAAGATTGTGTAATGCCTCAGTCTTTAAACATGACGGCTTATTCTCACTTTCAAATTTGGACACAAAACTAAAGATGCAACCAATAACACAGCTCATATAAGGTAGAATTTTTAAGAAGACAAATTTCAAGTTCTTTAAGGTATCTTTAGATTATTAGCTGTTGATAACTTATTAGATTTAGATGTGAGCTTTGGTTTTATGCAATTAATCAGTAATAAGGTTAGCTTATTTTATAACTTTTTAATAGTTTCTTTACATCAGAGCAAATGAAATATAAAACTTCAAAAGAGAATCCAAACTGAACTTAAAAACAGAAAGGTATAGTCAACAGAAAAAAAAATGTGAGGTTGAAAGAAGCACATGTAATGAAAATTATAATGCAAGGATGCCTCCTGGCTCTCAGAACTTTTGAAATTCTTATAAGTATGAGATTATAGGCACCTAACAAATTTCTATAGCAAGGAGAATTAAATAAATAAAAAAAAAAAAAAAGATGGAAAAATACATTTCAATAACTGAAATTCCTATTCTTTCAATTTAGTTGCAGCAATAATTCAAAGGAAGCAACACAATCATGTAAATTGGAATGATAATTTTTGCCAACATTAATACAATGCAAATTGTCAGTAACTTAAAGGATAATAGTTATTTAAAAAAAAGGATTTTATGAAGCTGATAAGGAAAGCACAAAAATTACCAATATTCAAGAATAATCTACATCATTATAGGAGTTTATTACATTTTGAAACTTTTTTCTCTCTATTTAAAGAGCCTAGCCCAAATAATGGAGGCTTGGGATTTACTACTACAACAACAAACCTTAAACACTCTTAGGTTTGCTTAAATGGTTGCAGGTAAACAAAATGATTTTAAATACAATCTAAACTACAATGTGAATTCAAATATCACTCAAAAGGAAGACAAGCACTGATGCAAAACAAAACTTTTCATAGAATAGCCAGTATTACATTAATTATACAGTATTCACACACTAGAATGGGAGGATAGGAGGTAAATATTACAAGCTGAAACAAACTGTTCAAGATTAATTGAGATTCAAAATCACATTGCAGAAATGGTGAATATATTATATATGCATCAATGAAATATTTTTTAGTCAATCACTTATTTTTAGTTGAGAAATTCACAGAAACTCTTACCTTTGAGCAATTAGACATTTATCAAAATCAGAAATTTTTTTAAAATATTAAATTTATGAAACAAAACCTGAAGTATATCTTGTCCAGCTATATCAAAACAATCATAATGGCTAGCAAATTATCCAAAAATAAATTTAGTTTATGTTTATATATTAATTAACAAGTGCCACTAATAATCCAATCTCATGAATAAATATACACCATAAAACTAAATGATATGTAAAATATATATGCTGCTGACAATTTAAGAATTAAAAAAATTTTTTTTCAAGAGATTAAGAATTAAGGAAACCACTCAATGGTGTAGACTTAGATTTTCTTTTCATGTCAATTCAGTTTAGAAATAATCCTCTATTTTTGGGTAAGAAGCTTTTTTAAGTTCCTATGTATTCACTGATTTATCTTTTTCTTCAAAAAAGTTTCATGCATTGACATATTAGCAATTGTTCATAGCTTCAGAATTAAAAGTGTTAACAAATTAGAAAATGCTTAAATATATTCATGTCTCAAGTGTCCAAACTATGAAAATTGTCTTTTAATAAGTATCTGTAAGATAAGAGCAGCTGCAAAGTAATCAACTGGTTACATTGATATGACTGCATGTTGACTAGTTAATGATATCTCGTATGCCATTGTTACTCAATCTCTATATTGCAAGTTTTAGAACATAAAATGTAATTATCTGACAATTAATCATCTGTAATTTTTGTTCCAGGTTATTGGCTTGTGGCTGCTTGTTAATGTGCTAGAAAGAATTAATTTTGATAAAATTTGTAGTAAGAAAGAGTGAAAATAAATTTTATGGCACTAATAAAGATATAAATTATTTGTGAGAAGATTAGCAATTAAATTTGTTGTCCTCCTTTTAATCTTAAGTGTCAATTTCTATCATGTACAACTGGAATACTTTTCAAAAATGTTCAATCTCCACAAAGATGTTTTTTTCTTAAACATACTGTTGGCATCTTTATGAATAGGAATTATCCAGGAGAGTTTTACTATTGCTATTGTTAAATGAGTAACAAACGTATAGATTGAATCCTTTTTTAAGCAAGTCACTAATAATTTACTCTGTAATAATAACCAATGGCTATTTATTTCACTTGGCTAGCCCATATTTGATTGATCATTAAAGTCAACCAACTTGCATGAAAGTTGAATGGATGATAAAATAAAATTGCATATCCATGGAACTCCTTTCTAAAAACTTGCCTGAAGCATTTAAAAGACAATAGTTGAACAGAGGATCATTATACTCTGTTCACAGTCAATAATATTGCCGATTACATGACTAATGTGTTTATATGAATAAAATTAGTTTTAGTTCATTTCTTGCAAATGTATATATGCATAGTCTTGTGAAATTAGAATATCAGTATTAAAAAAAATGAAATTTTAAGTTTATACATTAAAACCATAATTTTCTGAAAAAGAATTCAGAATAACATTTAAATTTTCACCTTTATTTTAATTTTGTAACCTCAAGAATGCATGATTTACAGTTATAATCCAAAGTTTATACCAATAAAACATTTCTAACAAATATAAATGAGGGTTTAAAAAATATCAGCTTATTTTTGTATTCCTTATTCAATGATACCTTGTGAATATGGACTGTATTCAGTTAAAGATTTAATAAATATCAACCTAATTTTATAGCAAAAGCAAATACTAGAAAATATGAGAAAAATGACAAATAGATAATTTAAAGTTTTTATGTAAAAATTGGTTATTTGAGCTCATTAGTTTTCCTACTGTTAAAAAGAGGTCATGATCATGTGAATGTGTGAAATAACATGTACACTTCATAACTTGAGATCATTCTCTTCTTAATAAGGCAAAAAACCTTTTCAGTACCCACTTCTACATCTATTATTGTGTCCAACCCAAACCAACCTCATTCTTTTCATGAAGTACAATTATAAAAATGAGGAGAATTATAGGTCAGTCCAAGTAAGAGTGTCAACAGTCAAAGCTGATTAATTGCAAAGAAATGAACAAATTGTCTTACCCTCCAAGATCAGATGGAACTCTAGATATGGACACGTCATTCAGCCCTAAGTGAGTCAAGTTTCTTAACTGTGTCAACCCTTCTGGGAGCCTGAAAGATAAAAAGTAAATACTAGTGAAAACTTTGATAAATCAAGAATCTTCTGGCAATTTCTTTTCAAATACAAATATTTATCAGAAGTAACCAATCTCATCAACAATTTAATTACTATCTGGTTAAAAATTCACTGCATATACTATATATATATATATATATATATATATATATATATATATATATATATATATATATATATGAAATAATTAGAGAAAATCACTAATAAATCTTAGCTGACAAAGAAATGAGAGAATTGATAAAAAATAAATAGGTCAGTAAAAGCATTTACGTTATTTGATATTCTCTTGAAACTAATGAGAATAGAATTTCTGGAAAATGCCAAAGTGACATGTGCAGAAAAAATGAACTCAAATAAAATTTGATTTTATTGTTATTTTTGTGTCATTATGAATAAGGATGGTAAGAAATACCAATATAAAAACTATTTCTGTAAACTATACAAAACTGAAGTTATTTGTGCTTAAGAAATTGTTTTCAGTTTATCAATAGTGGAACAATGAATGCCATTTGCAATTACTAAATTTTGACTAGTATTTCTTTCATATTATTCCTGTTGCTTTTTATTAGAACTTTCAAAATATCATTCTTAATCATTAAGCAAGCAGCTTGAATTAAAAATAAATGTTTACTTTATGCTCACAGAGAAATAAAGGGCAGGAGCTTAACTATCACCAAAGGGATTTTTTTTCTTATCTAACAATCATGTAACTGATCTGCAAGTTAATTAAAGAATCACAGATAAGATGGAAGTAATAGTATTAAAAATGAATACTACTATTTGCCCCATAATATTTATTACATTTATGATACAAAATTTTATATACATATTAAATTTAAGTATATTTTCATAAAATGTTTTGCACAGTGAGGAATCGGAGATCGGGTTTTTGCTAATATGATCTCCACCAGAAAATATGCCTTCCACAAAAGCATCTGTCGGTGAGTAATTCATTTCTGTTTATTTCACTCCATTGATGAAGGACACAGGTGTGTCCAAAAATTCCAGATTTAAAAGCATTCTTTCCATGCTTCATTTCTGTCATATGGTTAATATTTAATAAATGTTGCTTATACTGATTATATTGGTACCCTTTTATTTGTTCTTGTTTTATTAACTAACCTATTTTACGTGTGTGTGTATAAAAATATATAAAAAACAGGAAAGAACTTGTTAGGTAAATAATCCAAAGTTCTTTAGTATGCTATTATTTAAAAAAAAAAAAAAACAGTGCTCGATACAAAAGTAGAGCCTAAATATAATTATTTATTTAAAAATAGGATTCCATCACTACGTAAGAGTTCTCATGTTTCAAAAACTTCAAATAATTATATTGAAGTTTTCGGCTCTGGTTTTGAAACATGAGAACTTTTATGTAGTGATGGAATCATATTTTAATAAATTAATATAATATATATATATATATATATATATATATATATATATATATATATATATATATATATATTGATGCATGTTTCATTAAATAATATAGACAAGTTTTGTCTATTTATTTAAAGTATATACTACACTAAATCTAGTATATCCAACTTAATTATTCACAATGATTCTTCCCCGCTCCCTGTTAGCGATTTGCAGAAAACTAACATAGTGTACAAATTCAAGTGCCCTTTAGGAGATTGTATCTCAATGGATTAAATAATATTTATGTTTGTCACACCACAAACTCGGTTTCACAATGCTTGACTCTACATTTGAATGATAACTAACATTTTTAGGCATTTAAAACAACATGCCTGGCTGCATACACAATTCCAGAAAATCCTTGTTGAAAACACAACTATACTTAAACATGAAAACAATAAACAAAAACTAAAAATTCTTGAAGCTATATACATAAAACAGTTGAAACCTAACCTGAACAAAATAAACTACAAAATCTCCACAAATATTCTTAAATGCCTATAATTGATAACAGAAGCCAGTGGTTCATACCAACGGCTTCCCATACTTAATACTTTCACTCTCACGTGGTCATGTGCGACGTCACAAGCTGCAACAAGATTTTCGCTTCCACGTCTTGTATACACGAGTTAGTCGTTGCTTTGAAATTTTTCATGCAACAAAAACAGACTATCATCATCATTTTGTCCATGTATTGGTTGATATATTGAAATGTAATTGCCATCTTTGATAATGGCTTACATAAGCTGAAAGCTTAGATCGGATTTAAACATGTATCAATAATTTCTTTTCGTCTTTCAATGATAATGTTATTAAGCTTATCAGACAATATGAAAGGAACTTAAAATAAATAGACAAAACTTGTCTACATTATTTAATGAAACATGCATCAATGAAAAATTGCTGCCTAAATATATATATATATATATATATATATATATATATATATATATATACACACACACTTAACAACTTATGGGACAAAGGTAGCTATTGACAATGGTGCATTTAAGAAAATTATACATTTAATACTAGTGGTATAAAATGGATTATTTTATTTTTGGATTACAATAAAAACTTTCTGTACTAATAAAATTGTGAAATTTATCAAGAGTTCCTATTCCTAAATAGGAAATAATTTATTATGTGAAAATAGTTTTCATATCATTTGATTATTTCCCAATCTTATAAAAATCATGTGGGCACTTATTTTTAAAATAATCCATGAGAAATAAATTGTTTACCATAATTAAAAAATGCTATAAATATCTATAAGGATGTCTTAAATTATCAAATATTTACATTAATTTGATATTTTTAAATTTTGTTTTCTAATGGAATGTTATTTTCAATCTGCCAAGCTGACTACTACTTCCTCTAATTTGGAAAGAAAACACTATTCTTGATAGAACCTTTATAGTTCAAGATATTAATACTGTTGTGGTTTCATAAAATAAAGTTTGTTTTTTTTTTCTTTTTAACTTCAAATAAACATTTATAGAAAATATTTTGTAAATATTTAGGAAAAAAAATAAATTTAGAGATTTATACATTCATTCTATTAGTATAGAAATTTTATAGGTGACTAGAACCTTTGAATAAATATTGTGAAAGTGATTTTTATATGATCACCAAAATATAGGAAAAATATGATTTTATTGTTTAATGGTTTAAAAATAGATTATTGTGAAGTTGAAGTTAGCACTAATCAGCCGCTAAGCTTGTACCTCTACCTCGTTATTCCCAGTGACCACTTATATGAGTGTTCACTTATGCTTATGCAAATTATGCATACTAATTTGCTAGTATCACTACATCTCCCTGAACCTTAAGGGTTTTATTCCTCTCGTAGATCTTGTACTCCTTCTCCTGCTATTTTCATCACTTTGCTCTATCTCTATCTCCCGTATTTCTGCTGTAGTCATATGTGTTTTCTTGCATAATCTGGTCTTCATCCGAACTTTCAGACTCCTTCTGGCCCTCTTCATCCTACATTGTTTCCTCTTCTGACATTTCCTTCTGTAATGGTTGTTCTACCAACTCGTTATCAGATGGAATTGAAGACATTTCTTTGTCGTTTCGTTCTTCCTCTTCACCCTGGGTCCTTATTTGGTCTGCATGGGCTAACACACTATTGCCATTTTCTCTATTTATTATGGCTGTATTGTGAACTTTTTGCATTATAAATTCAGCTCCTTCCGGATCTACATCTTTGCTCTTTTTGTATCACATCTTTTCATTTGTAGAATATCACACCGTTAGCGGAGCTCTAATCTATCTTCCCATTAAAGCTGATGGGCTTTCTAGTCTTCCCGCATGTGGTATCGTGCGATAGCTTAAAAACATCCTTGGTAGAAAAACTTTTTTTTTTTTTGCTGAGAGCATGCTTTTAGCCCCTTTTTTATGATCTGTACCATTCTTTCTGCTAATCCGTTTGATTGAGGGTGATATGGAGGTGTCTTATATGGTTTACACCCTATTTTTTCTAACCATACGTTAAATTCTGGTGCATTATCAGATACCAAGGTTTTTGGTACACCATTTCTAGAAAATATGACTCTTAGAATCTGCTTTATAGTAAAACTTTTCTTGTTCATAACCCGGATTATTTCAGGCCAACCTGAAAAGGAGTCTACTAATAAGAGTCCCACTCCATTAATGTATGCATGATCCATATGCACACGACTCCATGGCTCCACTTCCTTGGGCCACAAATGTAATTTGGTTTGTGTAAAGTTTCTTAATTCTTTACATTTTTTACACCTTTTTACATATTCCTCAATGTCTCTTGAATATCCCGGCCACCAAGCTTCTAATTTTATCCTTTTTTGTGTGGCTGCTACTCCACAGTGTATATCATTATGTACACTTTCTATTATCGGTTTTCTCTGTGTTTCTGGGGGAACTACCCCATTGCAAATCACTCCATGTTCTATTGTTAATTTGTGTCTTATTTCTTTATAGGGTCTTTCCGCCCTAGAACAATTTCCCCACGAGTGTTTCCTTATTCTCGATACTATCCTACTTAGCGCCGGATCATGTCTCGTTTCCACAGCCATTCTGTCTAAAGACAAAACATCGGTCTCTATCAAGTGTAGGAATGAATCTTCAAATTCTTCCTCCGTTTTGTCTTGACTCCTTGTAGAACTTCAATCTTGATAGTGCATCCACATGTGGAATTGAATTTCCTTTGACATACTCTATATCAAAGTCAAATGCCATCAATCCTATCGCCCATCATAAAATCCTTGATGTCGTGACTTTGGGTAATTCTTTCCTTGGGTTAAATATAAACTCTAATGGTCTATGATCACTTCTTAATAGAAATTTTTTCCCAATTAAAAATTGTCGGGCTCTGGTAGTTGTCCACACGATAGCCAATGCTTCTTTCTCTATGTTCGAGTAATTAAATTCAGTGTTCATTAATCTTCTCAACAAATACATTATCGGATGTCCTTCTTATGATAATATTCCCAATATTGAATGTTCACTTGCATCTGTAGTGAGTGTTATGTCCTTTTTTGGATCAAAAATTTTCACTACAGGTTTC